TCTGGACAAGAGTCATGGTGCATACAACAGTGGCAGTGGTAATCAAGAGCAAAGGAACATAGAAGGATAATGAGAGGTAGGATTCAAATGCTTTGGAACTTGACTTGCTTCCGGAGTGAGATAGAGAATGAGTCATACTTACACAAGGTTTAGGTAACTCAGTAAATGATACACAGTTTCAGAAACTGATACCCTCAGCAGATGGAGAAGGACTGGCTGGAAAAAGAATCTGTGAATGTGAAATATCATCGATATTTAAAGGACTCTGACTGAATATACAGATCTGACATTCAGGAAAGTGATTAAACTCATAGCTAGAGAATATTTTGTGTCCCTAGCAAATAAAAGATACATGAAGCCATCAACTTTTTTCCTAAAGAAATACACTTATCTATGTACAAAAATCTAAAAATCATCAATAGAATCTCAAATCCTGCAAAAGAAACTTGGAAGAAGAAACCAAAAATGAAAAAGGTTAATAAGAAAGACAAGATGTTACAGAATCCACTGGATAAAGATTCCTTCTAGGACAAAGAACAGTATGATACAAGAGACTCAAGGGGTACAATAGATAAGGTAAGAGTCAATAAAGGTCTTATGGATTTCCCATAGAACTGTCACTGAGGACCTCACTGAGAACAGTTCCCATGGAAGGTTGGCGTAGAAGCCAGGATGTGATGATTGGGGAACGAGAAGATAAATGATCCTAAAATCATGCAAGATTATTACAGGGTAACCTTGCATTTATAACCATTTCTTTGTTTTTGTTTTAATGGAAGAAACATGTATCAATGGGGAAGGGAAAAGAGAAGAGCAAAATCAAAGTTCAGGAGAGGAAATGGTTTTAATGAGAAGATGGCTACAGAAGCAAGGTTCTTGAAAGATCTGGCACTTAGAAGGTAAGAATGTTCTCATATTTGAGTATGTAATTACACTCTGAAGCTAGAGGCAAGATCATATCTAAGAGCGGAGGTACTAATGGTTGGATTAGACCAGTGATTCTCAACTGGAGGGTGACTGAGGGTTGCCCCTCCAGGCAACCTTTAGTCATATCTGGGAACATTCTGTTTGCTACAATCAAGGGGTGTAATGCTGTCATCTCGTGGGCAGAAGACAGGTATGCTGCTAAACTGTACAAGGTATAGGAAAGTTCCTCACAATATATAGTCCAAAATGCCGATAGTGCTGACATTAAGAAACCTGGGTTAGACATTTAAGGAGAGAGGAAGAAGTTTAAAATATCCACTGAGGAGAACAGGGAGCTGATGATGGAACCATGGTACACTTACTTTACAATATTCAGTGCTCACTGCAGAATGAAAACCATAATTTTTAAATGACAATAATCTGCACTGCTGCGTAATTTTCTCCAGCAATATTAAAATGCAATATATGCTCAGAGAAGTGAAAAGTTAAATTGACAATATGAACAAGGTTTTACAAAACAGGTCTTAATAGAAGGACAAGAGAATCAGAGATACTGATAAAAGAGCCATGATCCACTAAAGCGAAGGATCATGGTATCCAAGTAAAGAAATGATGAAACAAAAGGTAGCTGAAGGAGAGCAGACAGCAGCTTTGAGCTTCCTATGAAAGTTTAATATGTGCATTGAGAGTAATGGAGCAAAAGTAAAGAGAGGTAAAACACTGCAGCCAGAAGTTAAGAAACAGCCTTAGTATTTGCTTTTCAGCACAGCTAGGAAGATGGCAACTCATATCCACGTGAGACCCAACAGGTAGACAGATGAAGAGCACTGAAAATAACAGACACTGGAAATGAGGATGATAGGACCTGAGAAGCTAGGGTGACGGGAAAAAAAAATCACACGGCGCCAGTTATACACTATTGTGTGTGTACCTAATTTCATGTCATATCTTTATTTAAACAATGATTCAAAAAGATACATGGACCCCAATGTTCACTGCAGCACTATATAGAATAGCCAGGACAGGAGAGAAACCTAAATGTCCACCGAAGGAAGAATGGATAAAAAAGATGTGGTACATACAGAAAACAGAATATTACTCAGCCATAAATAATAAAATAATACCATTTGCAATGATATGGATGGGCCTAGAGATTGTTACACTGAGTGAAGTAAGTCAGATACATAAAGATAAGCATCATATGACATCACTCATATGTGGAATCTAAAAGGAAAAGTGCTACAAATGATCTTAACAAAACAGAAATGAGTTACAGATGTAGCAAACAAACACAAGGTTACCAGTGGGGGAAGTGGGGTACAGATAAATTGGGAGATTGGAATTGACTATACATACTACTATTAAAAAAAAAAATTGCTAAGTCGTGTCCGACTCTTGCGATCCCATGAACTGTAGCCTGCCAGGCTCCTCTGTCCATGGGATTCTCCAGGCAAGAATACTGGAGTGGGTTGCTATTTCCTTCTCCAGGGGAACTTCCTGACCCAGGAATTGAGCCCAGGTCTCTCCCATATTGCAGGCAGATGCTTTACTGACTGAGCTACACAGGAAGCCCCACCATAAATAAAACAGATAACCAATGAGGTCCTACTGGATAGCATAGGGAACTCTACTCAATAATCTGTAATGACTTATATGAGAAAAGAATCTTAAAAAGAATGGACATACATACATGTATAACTGACCCACTTTGCTGTCCAGCAGAAACACAACATTGTAAATCAACCACACACCAATAAAAATTAAAACAACAAAATGACAAGCGATGAATAAACAGAAACTTGTTAGAACAGAGCTGGGAGACCAGAAGCGGGAGCTCTCACAACCTGCTACTACAGTTTGTTCTACAAGCACAAACACTCATCCTTCCTGGAGAAGACTCAGCAAATGGAAAACCACGGGCTGTCTGTTCACTCTAGCCCTCCCAACTTCCTTTTCCCTTCTATAAAATTGTTCTTCCCTTGCTATGGGGGTACTTGCATGTGGCTTGTCATGGTTGCAGACCACAAATTTCACTTCTGTGTTTACCCCAAAGAAACCTATCTTTGCTGAAGAAAGATATGGCAGTCTGTTTTAGGTCAATAATTACCAACCACATACAGGAAAAGCAGGAACAAAAAGAGACTACCACAACAGTTTTTAACAAAAAGGACTCTTTGTAGTATCTAACACTGAGAAGATCAAGGGATAAGTCACATAGGATCCAACAGTTGGGTGCTCAACAAGAGTGTTGAACCCATTTTTAGCACCCACCTTTCTAAACCAAGGGTTGATAGCCAAAGTTCCAGTCACAGTCTTTCAGGGTCCCATCCTGCTGGTTTTTGCATTGAGTGGGTAAAGTATGAATAAAATTATCTAAGAGTAGAGGACATTTTCAGGCAAAATGTTGCCAGTGTCCAAACTCTTGCCTCGGAAGGTCTGACAATGGGACGTTATCTACACTTAAATATCCCCCAGGACACAGCAATGAAATTAGGGCACAGAACCTAGAAACCGATTCTCAACAGTGAATTCAAGACACAAAACAAAGAACAAGGTGCTAAAATTTCTAGCAACAGAAGTAGAATACCTAGAGTCTACAGATAGAAGCAATATGGAAAAGAAGAATGTAGTATATAACCTTCAAACTCAAGAGAAAGCCGAGATGGCTGCCAGTTTTTTTCAGCTTTAGATTGTTGCTCCAAATGCCACCAGTAGAATTTACCACTGATTGCCATCAAAATCACCGAGGGGAGCTTGTTAAAAACTGACATTCTAGAACTTATCCCAGATGATTCACTCAATGTTTACACATTTCAGGAATCTATGTATTTAGCAGTCCATGGATTTAATACAGGATTGAAATTTGGAAACTAGTAGTATTTACTACTTGGACACATAGTCAATGAACATGAAATTGGGCAAACTCTGGGATATAGTGAGGGACAGGGAGCCCTGGCATGCTGTAGTCCATAAAGTCTCAAAGAGTCGGACAGAACTTAATGACTCAACAAAAACAAGGATTTACTACTTAATACTGTCACACCATCTCAACTCATCATTGTTAAGTCTATTTTAGTTCCTATTCATTGAAAACTTATGATATGGCAGATGCTTTTCTAAGTGCATTAAAATACAATTTTAAAGTTCAACTGCCCCAACAACTTTACAATGAAGATATCATTAACATTTTCACTTTAAGGTAAGAAAATTAGGCAATACAACAGATATCTGAGCACCAGAAGCCTGATATCAGAGTCTGTTCTCTTTACAGTTATCATGATAAAACTATCCTAATAAAATAAACTTGTTCCTTTTACTTTCAACTAGAATTATGTATGTTGTTAAAAAGTCATCATATATTGACCATAAACCTGGGCAGTTACACAATTTAACGAAAACAAGAAAATTGTTGAAAACTAAATACAATCAGTTTGGCAAGCAAAACATATCAAAATGCAAGACCATAAAAATAATGGATGTCCTTAGGGGTAAAAGTAGTACATAATTCCTATACACCTCCTCACACCCACTACTACTTCCACATTTCCTTAACTCTAATATTAAATATGAGGTTAACTTGGACATTGACCAGTTCAGAAAAAGGTGGCAGAAAGAAATAAACATTCACCTCTCCAGTACCATAATTACCCTGTCTTTTGCAAATCTGTCTCTTTTTTCTCTCTCAATCTATTTTCTTCATGTTTTCAGTGAATTTTAGTTAAGTATATAGAATGCCCTAGACACTGTGGCTCTCAGGACACAGTGTCAGGTTCACAGGGGCCCGAGTGTACCAAGGCTGGGGGGTTTTCTAAAGAAGTCACACTGACTCTAAATTTTAAAGGAGAAATAGAACTGAGAGGATGAAGTTAGGGAGGAAGACCAGAAGAGAGCAGATGAAAGGAATGGACTGTATGTCAAGTCAAAAGTGTAGGAAAAACAAATAATTTTGTTAAAGTGAAATAAGAAAATCAGCTTGAAAGCATTTTCATGCCTTCTAAAAGAAGCCATCTTTGTACAATTAAAGTATGTGGCAACCTAATATCATTTATCAAACTAGATCTTTGAATACTTACATTTAATTCAGTTTTTAGCATTTCTTCAAGACAACGACCTACATGTTCTTCATCTTCTTTTGTGTCCATAATTATACAAACTTGTTGTGAAATTCTTTCTGAAATACAAAAGAGATGAAATTTTAGGCTTCAAATAGATCAGGAAACAAAGCCCTAGTACACTGAAGCCTATCCCGGCTATTCATAACAACTAAGAGGGAGCTGCAGGCTCTGGGCCAAGTGCAGTAACCTGAACTACAGAGAGACATTCTTGACTCACTGACCAACCAAGCCAGTAAATCTATGCATTTAACATTTTGTGGGTGGATAACTGGGACATCATGTAAGCAACAGAAATAAGAGATCTTCAGAAACATCTGAAGAGAGTAACTGGAAGTGACAGTTATTTTGCTCAAGACGTCAATCCTTCTGCATTTACAAGGAATCCCCAAGGGGATCTGATAGAACCCCTTCTCTCAAGCAGATCCTCTCTTTCAGTTCAGTGATACTACCAACCATCTCATCCTCTGTCGTCCACTTCTCTTCCTGCCCTCAATCTTTCCCAGCATCAGGGTATTTTCAAATGAGTCAGCTATTTGCATGAGGTAGCCAAAGTATTGGAATTTCAGCTTCAACATCAGTCCTTCCAATGAACACCCAGGACTGATCTCCTTTAGGATGGACTGGTTGGATCTCCTTGCAGTCCAAGGGATTCTCAAGAGTCTCCTCCTCCACAGATCAAAAGCATCAATTCTTCAGTGCTCAGCTTTCTTTATAGTCCAATTCTCACATCTGTACATAAATACTAGAAAACCATAGCCTTGACCAGATGGACCTTTGCTGGCAAAGTAATGTCTCTGCTTTTTAATATGCTGTCTAAGTTGATCATAACATTCCTTCCAAGGAGTAAGTGTCTTTTAATTTCATGGCTGCAGTCACCATCTCCAGTGATTCTGGAGCCCCAAAAAATAAAGTCTGACACTGTTTCCACTGTCTCCCCATCTATTTGCCATGAAGTGATGGGACAAGATGCCAGCATCTTAGTTTCCTGAATGTTGAGCTTTAAGCCAACTTTTTCACTCTCCTCTTTCATCAAGAGGCTTTTAGTTCCTCTTCACTTTCTGCCATAAGGGTGGTGTCATCTGCATATCTGAGGTTATTGATATTTCTCCTGGCAATCTTGATTCCAGCTTGTACTTCATCCAGCCCAGAGTTTCTCATGATGTATTCTGCATATAGTTAAATAAGCAAGGTGACAATATACAGCCTTGACGTACTCCTTTTCCTATCTGGAACCACTCTGTTGTTCCATGTCCAGTTCTAACTGTTGCTTCCTGACCTGCATACAGGTTTCTCAAGAGGTAGGTCAGGTGGTCTGGTATTCCCACCTCTTTAAGAACTTTCCACAGTTTATTGTGATCCACACAGTCAAAGTCTTTGGCATAGTCAATGAAGCAGAAGCAGATGTTTTTCTGGAACTCTCTTGCTTTTTCAGTGATCCAAAAGATGTTGGCAATTTGATCTCTGGTTCCTCTGCCTTTTCTAACACCAGCTTGAATATCTGGAAGTTCACGGTTCACATATTGCTGAAGCCTGGCTTGGAGAATTTTGAGTATTACTTTACTAGCGTGTAAGATGAGTGCAATTCTGCGGTAGTTTGAGCATTCCTGGGGATTGCCTTTCTTAAGGATTGGAATGAAAACTGACCTTTTCCAGTCCTGTTCCCACTGCTGAGTTTTCCAAATCTGCTGACATATTGAGTGCAGCACTTTCACAGCATCATCTTCTAGGATTTGAAAGAGCTCAACTGGAATCCCATCACCTCTACTAGCTTTGTTTGTAGAGATGCTTCCTAAAGATCCTCTCTTTAGGCCATCAGATATCTCCTGCATACAGTTCACTGTGCCATCTGGTACCTTGATGACACACAGCATTTTCCTTGCCATTCCTTTAGGTTCAGTCAATTCAATTAAAGTCCTGCCTGTTAAACTATTATCACAAGTTAAAATAGCCAAAAATAATTACTCTCCAAATTTAGAAGGCTTGAAATGATATAATTTTAAATCATAAGCTGTATGACATAGAGATAGTCACCTTGGTAAACCCTGGATACACTCTCACAAAATATGCACAGTCCTCCTTTATAGCAGATATAATATACAAGAAAAGGCTATATTACTACCAATTTAAGAAAATATTTCATGGTATTATGTCAAGGACTTTTTAAAAAAGCCTAATTTTAAACAGGAGTCCCAAATCAAAGTAGGTTTAACACTTGACCCAGCTGCTTCTTACACTGGTAACTCCATATAACAGGCTTTCTATAAATACTGTTCTAGCAATAGTTAATGATTCATCCAAACAAAGCTGAGAATGACAAACCATTTAAAATAATGTCACCAGTTAATGGTATTCCTGTAACTATCCACTTCCCACTTATCAAGAGTATTATATGTTCCAACAGTCATACCCTATATTCACATCAATTCTCATGATGATCATGCAAACAGTATTATTGTGAATCTATGCAACAGATTAAGGAAACTTTACTTCAGAGAAACAAAGCAACTTGCCCAAAATCACAGGGTTATGATTAGAAAAAAAAGAATCCAAATCCAAAGAAATTAAGCACACAAATACACAGCTATTCTACAGCACTAAAATGAAAAGAAAGAGTTATCTGATATTAACTGAACATCAAGGATTTTGCTATGAAAGTTCCTAATGTTTCACAGTCATTATCCCATTTAATGGCTCAAAATAAATATGCATTATTAGCTAAGTATTATAATTCCTGTTTTTACTCATCACAAGGTACTTAAACCCAGGTCTTTCCAAAGCTTGTGTTTTTTCTATCATGCTGTCTACCTTATAATAATTACTGTAAAATAATGTGAAATATTCTTTTACATTCACTCTTTTACATCCTACAAATTCAACAAAACTAATACAGGCACAGTAATTTAAATAGATTGTGAGGATACTTCTATACTGAAAATGGACCTGCTATAATTATAATATCTTAAAATCATTTCATCCTTTTAGGACTGTGTTCAACCATCAGTAAGGCTCCTAACAAGTTGAAAATGTCTATACTTTTAAGTTACATGAGCCAAGACATGGAAGCAACCTAAACATCCATCAACAGAGGAATGGATAAAGAAGATGTGGTACATATATACAATGGAATATTACTCAACCATTAAAAAGAATGAAATAAAGTCATTTGCAGCAATGGTGAATAGACCTATGGATTGTCATAATGAGTGAAGAAAGTCAGACAGAAAAGGAGAAATATTGTTGGACATCCCTTATATGTGGTATCTAAAAAAAAAAAAATGACACAAATGAACTTATTTACAAAACAGAAACAGACTCACAGACTTACAGAACAAATTTACAATTGCTGGGGGGATGGAGGGAAGGGATAGTTAGGGAGTCTGGGATGGACACATATACACGGCTATATTTAAAATGGATCGCCAACAAGGACTTACTGTATGGACATGGAACTGTGTTCAATGTAATGCGGCAGCCTGGAAGAGAGTAGAGTTTGGGGGAGAACTGGATACCTGTGTATGTGTGGCTGAGTTCCTTCACTGTTCTCTTGAATCATAACATTGTTAGTCAGCTGTATCCCAACGCAAAATGAAAATTTTTAAATACAGGAGCCTAATTAAATATAATTAATAACACAAATGAACGGTCCAGATAGTAAGTACTACGGAACATCACTGTGATTAGAAAGATACACTGGTTGACAATATTAGATAATTCTTTACACTAACATGAGCTAGGAGTTCACTCTTGAAAGGTGAGTAAGCTTTGCTTAGTGGAAGCAAGGGGCTTTGAAAGCTATGAAGGGAAACAAGATTTTTTTAAAAAACTTAATGTTTGGGGGGGTAGAAAGAGTATAAGCATGAAGTTACTGTGATAAGATACAAGATTTTGATAAGATACAACAAGCACTCAAAAAAACATGGAATGATTCAGCAATGAACGCTGTGAAGCCAGAATGTAACGGTTGCATGCTGTCCTGAACACTTGAGTGTCCTGAAAACTTCCGATCAGAAGGTTATAGTTATTGCTTGGAACTATAATATAAGCAATAGCTTTTGAAAACCAAGTTAATTCAAATATGTGTTATATTCTGTCAAACATTTGGAGACATACTTGGACTTCATAACATCCTAGTAAACGTCCGCTTACACTTCCAAATGTTTCTCTCACATACCAAAAAATTATAATAAAAAATGCAATGTGTAAGCATCAAGTAATTCACTGCATATACAATGAATATGATGGCACCACAATAATTCTTACTAATTTATAAAATAATGCATAAACAATACTTTTTAAAACAAAACACAACATATGCAGATATCCCTTCTTTGTTGCATCATATATCCTTTACCAAATTCCAAGCTCTATCAAGTGTAAATCAACAATAAATTAAAATTGACATTATATCCCTTCAAAAATGAAGTACAATTAGCCCTTGAACATGGATTTTATCTGCAAAGGATCCACTTATACACAGTTTTTCAGTAGAAAATAGCACATTCTTAGCACAGTGCTGTATACTCCACAGTTGGTTGAACCCACAGACAAGGAGGACCATGTAAACCACATGTGGGTTTTCAGTTTTGTGGAGGGTCAGTGCCTCTAGTACCCATGCTGTCCAAAGATCAGCTGTATAAATAAAATGGAGTAATTCAAAATCTATGATATTAATTTTATGCCATGTGTCAGCTGTTCTAAAAAGAAAGCTTTTTGGTTGGGGGGAGGGAATCTTTGCAATAAATTTTACAATAAATTTGCTCAAAATCACCTGTTTAGACAAAAATGACACCTTTAAAATATCAAGGTTTTCAATTACTAATATGATATATTTCTCTATTTATTAATACCTTCCTAAATTTTTCTCAAAGCTTTATAATCTCCAGTACAGAGTCCTTTAGTAATTTTTGCTAAATATCTAAGCAACTTTGTTGATGCTATTGCAAATAATCTTTTACTATATTTTCTCTTTGTTGATACACAAAAATATATTAAGATTTTTATAGTTTTTGCATTCAGTAACTGTGCTAAATTCACTTATAAATTCTAAGAGTTTACA